TTGCGGAGCACAGGCTCCGGACGCGCAGGCTCAGCGGCCATGGCTCACGGGCCCAGCCGCTCCGCGGCATGCGGGATCATCCCAGACCGGGGCACGAACCCGCGTCCCCTGCATCGGCAGGCGGACTCCCAACCACTGCGCCACCAGGGAAGCCCAAGAGTGTATATTTTTGAATACCAGTTCCTTATGAGATACGTTTTGCAAGATTTTCTCCAGTCAGTGGCTTGACCTTTTATTCTCATAACAGTGCATTTCACAGAATCGAGGTTTTTAATTTTAATCATGTCCAGCTTGTCAGTTGTTTCTTTCATGGGTTGTCCTTTTTGGTGTTGTATCTTAAAATTCATTGCCAAACCCCAGGTCACCTAGATCTTTGCCTGTTTATCACCTAGAAGTTTTATAGTTTTGCATTTTACATAGTCTATGATCCATTTTTAGTTAATTTTTTGGAAAGAGGTAAGGTCTGTGACTAGATATTGCTGTTTTTGTATTTGGATGTCCAGTTGTTACAGCACCATTTGTTGTATAGACTGTCCTTTCTCTCTTGGATTATCTTTGCTTCTTTGTCAAAGGCCAGTTGACTATATTTATGTGGGTTTATTTCTGAGTTCTATTTTCTGTTCTCCTGTTTCATTTGTTTGTTCACCAGTATCACACTGTCTCGATTATGGTAGCTTTATAGTAAGTCTGGATGTCAAGTGGTGTCAATCCTTCAACTTTGTTCTGCTTCAGTATTGTGTTGGTATTCTGGCTCTTTTTCCTTTCCATATAAACATTAGAATTAATTAGTCAATATTCACAAAATAAGTTGCTGGGATTTTGATTGAGATCGAATTAAATCTGGAGACCTACTTGGGAAGAGTGGACATCTCAATCGAAATGAACATATAATATTTTCCATTTGTTTACATTTTGATTCCATTTGTCATCGTTTTGTAGGTTTTTTGGCGTATGGATTCTGTATGTATTAATATTTTCTTAGATTTATACTTAGGTGTATAATTTTTTTGGTGGTTTTGTGAATAGTATTGTGTTTTTAATTTCAAATTCCAGTCATTGCTAGTATATAGGGGAGCAATTGACTTGTATATCAACCTTGTACCGTATAACCTTCTTGTAATTGCTTATTAGTTTCAATTTTCGTTGTTCTTTGGAATTCTCTGAATAGCATGTCATGTCATTTGTGAACAAAGCCAATTTTATTTTTTTCCTTCCCAATCTGTATGTATTACTTCCTTTTTAGTAACTAGGATTTCCAGTATGATATTGAATAGGAGTGATGAGAGGATATCATTGCCTTGTTCCCAATTTTAGGAGGCGATTATCCAGTTTCTTAGCATTAAGTCTGATGTCAGTTGTAGATTTTTTTGTATATGTTCTTTATGAAGTTGATGAAGTTCCCCTCTATTCCTAGTTTGCTGAGAGCTTTTAGTCATGAATGGGTGTTGGATTTTATCAAATGTGTTTTCTCTATCAATTGATATGATCATACGATTTGTCTTTTAGCCTCTTTTCATGGTTAGATTACATTAATTGCTTTTCTTTTTTTAATTACTTCTCTAATGTTGAACCAGCCTTGCATACCTGGAGTTAATCCTGCTTAGTCCTGGTGTATAATTCTTTTTATACATTGTTGGATTTGATTTGGTAGTATCTTGGTGAGGATTTTTGCATCTATGTTCATGAGAGATTGTTCTGTAGATTTCCTGTCTTCTAATGTCCTTTTCTGGTTTTAGTATTAGCAAACCTGCCTTTTCATTTTCCCTTATTTCCTTCTAGCTTTTTTTCCCATACACACTCTCTGTGACTTTAAGTATGTGAACATGATACACAAGTTTTGTTGTATTTGTTCACTTAAATTGTTCATCTCTAACGTTCATTCAGTCTCTAGCAAAGCATTTTTTATGGTGCTTCATAATTTTCATTATAAGGTTTTCTTTTAATAACAGTTTCATGTAAATTCATGTTGAACTTTAAAGTGAGAAATACCATTCCACTAACTATTTGCAGAAAATGGTTACACTCTGAAATCTCTAGATACCTTTAGCAAAAATTTGTGGGATTTTCTTCTGTGGGATTATAGGTATATTAAAATAATGATAAGGAAATAACTTTTACTTTCCTTTGGCTAATAGGGAGAAATGTCATAGCACTTACTTACACAGGAACTCTTACCTAGAAAAAATTATGAGCTTATATGCCTGATGAGTGCAGGGGTGGCCACAGATCAGGCCTGGCTGGCAGCGTAGGGATAGTTCTCCTGTTTGCACTCAACCCTTGCCTTTATGTTCCCCATCTTTCTGTCATTTACCATTTCCTTCCCAACTTTGGTGTGGAACAGAAGAATAGAGTTTAACAGTATTTACTGATCCTGTAGATTTTATATTTCCTACGGCAAATTTTAAAACAAGTTGAAAAAAATCTTAAGTTGTTTTTTCTCTATTCTTTTGTTCCTTCAGCGTTTCTACACCTAAAAAGTTTTGCAGGGTATGGCTCTTCTGAGAGCCGGAAGATGATGGCAACAAAGAGGAAACTTTAAGACTTACTAACCTGAGCAAAATACAAGTAAAAGAGGTTAATTATTAAGATTTTTAATATAAAGAGAAAAATGACAAACTGTTCATGTTTGTGTGTCTACCTTTTCTCAGGCAGAGAATCCCCCTTATGGACCAGATTGTGGTTATGGTTCCTTTCACCAGCAGTACTGGCTTGATGGAAAGATCGTTGCTGTGGGGGTGATTGACGTCCTTCCATACTGTGTCTCGTCTGTATATTTGTACTACGATCCTGATTATTCGTTTCTGTCTTTGGGTGTCTACTCTGCACTCCGGTAAGATTGCTTTTGACAATTGTAATGGTCATATACAACTTCAAATAATTCTTCATTTGATTATATTTTATTATAAACAGTAGAAATCCCATTGGATAGTACATAATAATTTGTTGCTCTAGTAGTCTCTTATATATTGATATTTAGAAATACCACTTTTAGAACTGAGGCCACAGTGTCTGATGGTAATTCCCTAGTTTTTTTTTTTTTTTTTTTTTTTTGTGTTTCCAAGCCCTCTCACTGTTGTGGCCTCTCCCGTTGTGGAGCACAGGCTCCAGACGCGCAGCCTCAGTGGCCATGGCTCATGGGCCCAGCCGCTCTGCGGCATGTGGGATCTTCCCGGACCGGGGCACGAACCTGTGTCCC